GTGGGACCTCAGGCAAATCTCCGGAGGCAGAGGTCGCCCCCAGGCCAGGCCGCGGGGGAGAGAAGTAATGAAGCAGCTGCCTGGAACGGCCCCCCTCCCCCTGGAGCCGCCGCCGCTGCCTCCCAGGAGCAAGCTCACCTGGAGACCTGCGTCCCGCCTCTAGGGCAGTGGAGGCCGCTCCTAGGCTCCACCTCAGGGGAGAGCGGAGCAAATTGACCGGCTCCCCCGCGGCAGCCCCCTACCCCCGTGGGCCCCGCACCTTAACGACACCGCCTCCACTCCCCACTCAGCAAGCTGAATGGGACAGGTGTGTCCGGCGACCTGGGGCAGCAGAGGCCGCTCCCAGGCCCGGCAGCCGGGTTCCACTAATTCGCCAGGGGCAGCCCCGTTCCGCCCCTCTGCCGCTGCCGCCGCCCACTGACCAAACCGCCCCACCTCCCAGGAGCAAGATTCCCAACATCTGAAAATCTCTGGCGGCAAAGGCCCCCCCAGTCCAGGCTGCAGGGAAAACAAGAAATCGACGGGCTTGCCCGGGCAGCCTCCCACCCCCCGCCGCCGCCGCCGCCTCCATCACAAACCATTGCACTAGCCTCCCGGGGTCAGGCTGCTTGCAAGGATGTGCACCTGCCTGAGCACCTCCCTGCACCCCTACACTCCCTGTACCTCTGCACCCCTGCCACTCTCTGCACTTCTGCACTGCCTGCACCCCTGCAACCCCTGAACTGCCTGCACCCCCCCAAAGCCCCTGCACCCCTGCCACCACTTACACATTTGCACTGCGTACACTCCTGCACCCCTGCATGTCCCACACACCACCTCTTGGGCCTGTGGCACAGTCTCTGCTGTTAGACCAATGCAAAGGGACTCACATCTTTGCCAGTATATGATGCATCAGTGGACGTCTGGGGTTGGCTGCAGGAAGGTACATGTTCCCAGTCACTAGCCTGGGCCACTAGGGTGATCTCTGTGAGGTCACCCAGGACGGGCTCATAGATGCTGTTCTCTGGGAAGAGAGGAGTTGAAACCGGTCTTGAGGGCAGAGCTGTGCTCACCAGGCCGTCCACGCTTCATGTTTTACACAGGGCTTCAGAGAAGTGAAATGGATCTGGCCAAGTAAGACCGGCCTGCTGTGCGCCCACCTCAGTCCTGGGCTCTGAGGCAGGCTGACTGGCTCCCACCGTCAGGACCCAGTTTGGGCACCTGAATTGTCCCGTGGAGGCACCCTATCACTTCTCAGGAAGAAGTCTGGCTGCTTCCACCCCATGGCCCTCCCTCCCATTGTGCTGGCCTCAGGAAGGTTCCTTATTTGGGGAAGAAGGCAGCTCACCCCCTACCTCACCCCTCACCTTTCTCTAACCCAGGCTGGTGCTTTCTCTGCACTTCAGAGTCTGGAAAGCCATTCCTCTTCAGTTATGTCCCTTCTGAGATGGACTTGCTTCCACTCAATTCTAGGCGAGGATGCACCATGGAATGCACTGGGTAAGAGAACCAAAATAAATAGTTTCTTCTGTGAGGTTTTCTGTTTATCTACTGGGGCTGGGCTGTGTGTAGTTTGCTACAGCTATTCATGCGAGAGGCTAAAGCCGCCTGTGTGTCCTTGTTCTCATCTCCCCGCTGTCTTTGGGTTTTCCCTAGACACTCCTGAGACATTTACTTCTTTAATTTTATTCCTGTCATTATACAGGGGCCCTACTGACATGGAGGTAAGGTGCTGGGGGAGCGGGACAGATTAGGGCATCTGTAGTCCTGTGATTAGTTCTCATTGAGCCTGTGCCCTGAGCTGTGACCTGCACACGTGTGTCTCTTTCCCCCCACCACAATTTGGGTGACACAGAAGGGATTTCCCTTCCCCCAGGTAGGTTAGGCTCTGGTAAAATAATTTCTCATTAAAAACAAAACAAAACAAAGCACAACCCCCCACAATGGAAGAGAATATTCTGGGTGTATTTCAATAGAGCTATTTTTTCCTTTCCTGGTAGGAAGCATGAGGAGTTTTCCTATGATCTTCACTCTGAGAACAGGGTACGGTCCTGCAGGTAAAATGCATGAAAAAGAGCAGGGGGCCCCTCTGACTGACCCCCTGGAGTTGTCACACTCAGACTTCCCCACGCTGAGCCTCCAGCTGGCCTCAGGGACTTGTTAAATCTGCCTGCCCCCGGGGTTCTTACAAAAGCGGGTCCTTCCCTGGGAGCTGTGACTCTCCAAGCCTGCCCGGCTGCCTCTCTGGGTTGGGAGCAGTTTCCACCTCAGTTTTCTTGTGGATCTAAGAAGAGCAGTGGGTTTTCAGCTCTCTCAGCTCTGGTATTTTTTTCAGGACAGAAGGAGCAACTTCTGAGCTCCTCAAATGCTGGACCAGAGGCTAGAAGCCTCCCCTCCTCTGCCTCCATGCAGACAATCAGTGGCTGTGGTTCTAGCCGAGTTTCTGAAGATGTGGATTTAAACACACACATCCCAGCCCCCACAGGAGCACACAGTCCCATAAATCCCTACAACCTCCACTGGTAACTACGGAGCTGATGGGGACACGGGTTTCGGGGCTGCAGAAGCCTGACTGCAAGACTTGCTTCGTGGACTATTTACGTGGTTGTTCTGAGCCTTGTCTGAAGTGGCTTGCTATCGCACCTGGTACATGGGAAATATAAAATAAGTACTAGAACCTCCACTTTTGCTCCCTCTTGGGCCTTTCAACCTAAAAAGTAATAAGTGAACTCAGATGGCCTAGTCACCACAATGAGGTCCGTCCAGCCTGGCTCTCCTGAGTGACAGGCACTGACTTGCCCATTAACTCGGAAAAGTAGGGGACCCGCCGTCCTCTAACTGGGCCTCTCCCCACACCGGGCACGCCCTTAGCTGAGACGTGGCCATCTCCCCCATTGAGGTGTGTGCCGGTGGCTTCAGTGTGACCTGGCCCTGCCGGGACATGAACCTGCAGTGAGGTGGAGTGTCAGGAAGAGGGGGGGGTCCCTGTTGAGGCAGCTGGGGTCCCGGTAGCACCCTGCCCAGCCTGGTGCCTGGGGCTCCCCAACATCTCCTATGGCCCCCGGGTCGGCTCTGGTCCGGGCCACTCAAAGCACCCTCCCAGTATCTTTTCATTAAGTCCCTTTTTTGCTTTTATCTGCCAGAGGTGGCTTCTGTTGCTTGTTCAGTGAAACAGTGCATCAGGAAACCAGACTATTTTTAAGATCAGTAAAATACCAACTTCAGTCAGCTCACCAGGCTGACCGTGCAGCACAAATTCCCACACAGGGCTGTGCAAATGTCTTACTTGAAGGGTCCTCATCATCTGTCTTCAGAGATACAGAAGCTAGTGGTTCAGGTAAAACCTCAGGGAGGGATTGAGAAATCCAAAGCGGGTTGGTTTCACAGACTAACTGGTCGGACCAGACAACTGAAGTGTGGTCAGAAGCCTGGCTCAATGTCATGCAGACTTAGCGCCCTAAGTGTCCGGTGGGGCCGGTGCTGTTCCCTTTACAGGCTCTCGTTGGGGAGTCACTGTAGCCCCTTACACTCAGCAGGGAATCCAGCCCTCTTAGCCCCCATCCTGAGTGCTCCATGACACAAATATTGGGAGTGTTTAATTTTCATCTTTGTTTAGGAGGATGAAAGTGGGGCAAGAGGAGACATAAATTCACACTTAGTGACACCAAATCACAGCCAGTACCTCCTCCTCGGAGAGCTATGTGCTCCCACAGTGGTGGCTGGGGGGCTGGGCAGAGCCCCTCCACTGGTCACAGAGGGACTCACTCCTCTGCCTGCAACTGATGGGTTGGACAACCAATCCAGAGGGGACAGAGCATCTTTCCCGGGAATTTGGAACTGACACACAGAAATTAATTTCACTCATCTGGGGATTGGGAGGAGGGTGGAAATCAAATGAAACCAGAGCAGGAGAGAAAGTTACAAGTGAATGAGAGAGAGAAAGAGAGACTGAACTTGTGAGAGCAAATAGTGGGAAGGAAGGATAACAATCAGGGGACAGAGGAATTCCAGCTCCTGGCTGTCTAGTGTGTCCCAGCCCATCAACAAACCTGCGGGATGTTTAACATCATTCCAGTTTTCCAGATTAGGAAATAGGCTGAAAGAGATGGGGGTTGGCTTCCGGTGCACAGTTAATTTAAGTGCCACTGGACCCCTCACTTCCCACTGCCTGAAGGCACCATGATCCTCACAGGGACCCTGCTGTGCTGACAGCCCAGCACCCTGATCAAAGGGACCCTGCAGGAGTGGGAACCTCTCTGAGTGTGGAGAGTTCCCTGCACCGAGATTCCATGCATCAGCCAGCTCCCGCTCACCCCAGGTTAACGTCTCCCCAGCTGTGCAGACTCCCGACCCACTTCCCTCCCTGCCAGGCACCCCCGTTCTTACCACCGAGTGTACTGCAGGAATTCAGGCACAGGGATGCCCAAAGCAACATGAGCCCACCGGCTGTACAAACAGCAGACTCCCAGCCCCACCTGGGCTCCATGGGGTTAGTAGGTGTCCTCAACTTTCATGTATCTAAGGCAATGTGTTTCTTCAGCTGTAGGTTATAGAGAAAAATAAAAAGGTCAAAAAACACTGTTCAGTGAGAATTCCTTCAAGGACCTGACTCCAGA